GGCTTTCTGGATTATTCGCACTTAACTACCGACTATTTTAAGCCAGTTGCAGCGCCAGTACAAGGATATCAAAGAAAAATGCAATTAGCAGTCTATCGCAAGAAAGCACAGTGAATATCACTTGCGTCCAAGGACACTTGGATGTAGATGGCAATCAATAGGCGAACGGTCTAGCACGCGCTAGCGCCGGCGGCAAGGTAGTTACCATCGACTTCCACAGATATTTGACCATAGTGGGTTACTTAAGGTATTGGAACTCTTCCAATTTTTAGAGCAGCGTGGATAATTGACAAACCAAACTTGCGTTAACCAAGAGTAGTTAGCATTCGTATGGGTGTATTGGGATATCATCTCGACAAGCAAGGTAAAGTACAATCGGCAGTGTGCCAAATATGCACAGAAGATTATGAAACGCTGAGGTACTACCATTTCCAGTGTCCTTCCTTCAACCGATTGAGACGTTACCTCTTCCACCATGCCACCAGCTCAATCAACCTCACGGAGGTGGGCATACATGGTTGGAAGAAACTGAAAAATTTCTTAAACGGAGTGCCTTGGTGCGAGCGCTTGCGATCAGGTTCCCAACCTCATTCTTTCAACCAACTAACGAGGTACCAGAAGTGGAAGAGATAGACACACCAAAATGTATACTGATCCGATCAGAATGTGCTAAGGTGAAAACCATTATTAAGTCCCTTTAGTGCCAGTATCGCTACACAAGTAAAAGGATATTGGGCTGACTTGTCACCATCCCGCTCGCATATCGATTGAACAACCAAAACTTTCTACGGAGATATATTACAGTGGCAAGCTACATAAAGGAATTTAAAATTATTTCTGAGAAGACGAATAGACTAGATTGTCCCGCACGTGACTTTCGAGAAAGCTCTGACGACTACTACAGAGGCAGAATGATGGGATGAAGGACTCAAGTTTGCTCTGCAGTTTAGGCTGCAGTTTACTGCGCCAAACCGGAAATAAAACGATAAGTCAAACTACGTAGCCATACGGATCAAAGAAGTACTACAGAGGCTGTAGGCAGCAGTGGTTGAACTTTTCAAAGAGGCAACCAAAAGTTTTACAGAGAAAACGAAAATCCAACGGAGTACCAGGGAGATAATGGGTAAAAAGGGCAACCAGTTAGCCGACAAAGTGGCTAAAGTACTCTCGAAGTAGGAAGTAGCCATGGGCTTCGATGACGGAACTAAAATACATGTGATACCTTTTTATCATGAAGCTAATAGGATAGGGGAACGAACCAAGAAATGTGAAAATTATGTGCCTACACATGAGACGCAAAGCTTCTACAAATAGGTCAGACTCCAGGCTGCATGTAAGGTTCTTAGCAGGACACCGCCTGTCAAATTAGGCTTAGTTGAAGAAAACAAATGTCGGAAACGCAAGGAAGGGGTAGAGACAGTACAGTACGTAAGGAATTGAGTGCCCAGCGCAGTTGTCCAGCGTTCTGCAAACAGAGGATGAACTCTTTTGGGGCGGATAAATGGTAGAATCTTGAATCTGTAGCGGTTAAACGCCCTACACGGCTGCTTTAATTTAATAAAACAATGAAAGAAAGAATTAATGTTGTTCAAACTAGAGACCCAGCAAATCCAAACTAGTACTGCTCAATACTTAACCTCACTTTTCACTGCAGGGAGATAACTTGAAGCTCTTATTTGTTTATATGTCAACCCATGTGTAAATACTACATATATGTTTGTATGCCATACATAAATATGTAAATTCTCGGAACATAATTTCTTTAGTTTCCATTACTTCGCACAGTAGACTGATGTCGCGCGAGTGAGGTTGGGAGATCACCACTGATAATGATATTGTAATTGTGAATCTTTGTAAATATTTTTTTTTTCTATTTCTGTTCATAAATGTTGCTGTAAATAGGATGTCTACCATTCTTGACCTATGTATGGAGGGAGAGACACTAATGTATGTTACAAAATATTCCTGTCTGAGATTTTAGATGCTCAGTAGTTAATGCACGAGCTCATGTTCGATACTCGGGCTTAATTGTAGGCCAGATAATTTTCTTATTCACCATTAAAATAATTATAAATGGTTTATTGAATAGAGGACCTGAAGGGAACGGTCCACACTTAAGCCATTGAGTAGACACACTGCGGTCCTTCTCCTTCTCCTTCTCCTTCTCCTTCTCCTTCTCCTTCTCCTTCTCCTTCTCCTTCTCCTTCTCCTTCTCCTTCTCCTTCTCCTTCTCCTTCTCCTTCTCCTTCTCCTTCTCCTTCTCCTTCTCCTTCTCCTTCTCCTTGTTTTATTTTCTTTTTTCATTTATTTCAGGTAAAGACTTGAGCTAGCAGCATCTTAGAAGATATGACGTTCCAATTGGCTGAAGATCGGGCACTTTTAAAGGTAGTATTCCAGAGCTCACCCCCTTGATTTGATTTTACCTAGCCTTTTAGAATCGTAACTCAGATGTAGATACTCCATCAATATACCTATTTAAGTAATCACCCTCAGGATCTCAGCTCGGAAGATAGATTTTACTCATTTGAGTTTGAAGCTCCGACAGCCTCGAAAGTAGCTATCATAACCAGTCTCGAGTCCATTTTGAGATAGAAAAAGAGTTGGGCAGGTCGCCCCAATCGGCTTCCAATAATCGTCTAGGGAGTCAGGAGGAAGCGTCGATTTTACCAGCAAGATTGAACTTCACCCCATTAATAAGCAATAACTTATGATATCCTGACGTAAGTACCCGCTCAAGTGGAAATAAACCTTAAGCTTCACCTACGACAGGATACTGGTTTATTTCTGGAGGCTCCAACCCTACTCCGATATGAGCCACATTGGAAATGAAGCATAGCAAAAGGTCTGGCAAAAGAGGCCGCTGGCATCAGAAAAGCTAACCCAAAAGTGAATGCAAACAAGGAAAGATTCCAGAAGAGCTCCAATTTCCTGAGTAAGCTAAACCGATGAAAAACAGAACACCCAGTTCTTCCATAAGGGCTTGTGAAAGATGCGCGGCTACTGAGGCTGCAATAAGAAACCGAAAATCGTACATAAAGTCCTCCTCTCTCTAACTACACAATTGTAAGAGATGCTAGGCGATCAGGCAGAAGCATGCAATCTGAAAAGCAGATCTTGTGAGAGACGGCATTCAGTATTGGTCTTATGGATCATATCTTGATATCGTCTTCACACCGTTATTTCTTTCAGATTGATGCTGCTAGTTTCATAAAATGAGTGTTTAGAGTACCAACCAATTCTGTCGAGAACGTGTCATCCATCCTCTACATGATATAGAGTCTTTGGGTGCTGTGGATAACTTCAAACCATGGTTATAAGTAATGAAAATGTACTCAAGCTCCTAGAGTCGCATATCTATAATAGGCATTGGGTGGCTGTAATGTCAGCGCATACAACTTTGAAGATAACAAGCGAAACAAAAATGCCAGGAGGGTTTTCTACTCTCTTCTTGAAACTGTGGGTTGAAGGGGTCACCTTCTCTTTTCATGGGCAAATTCAAGGACGGACATTGTTAGATGTCGATAAAACCTCCGTAGTAAATACATATGTCTGATTGAGTATGCACCGCTGCGGTGAATGTCCTTTGAACTGCGAAACTCTGAGATATCTAAGACGAGTTCTAGCTAAGGCCGGATAGAAAGAATGAGTGTTTCTTAGTCCGGCACTCAGCTCTTTCGGAAATCTTAATAAAGAAGCTGTTACTTGCTTTCTAGTCAATTTAGTTGGCGTCCAAAGGTCAGACGATTTAATCACCCTGCAGAGGCGGTATTTTGAGCAACAGTGGATTGGCCTCACACATTCTCTGAGACGCCGTAGAGTGCGCAGCGCAAATCAGAGCATCAGAAAATACCCGAACGAGTTCATCCTCCAACGCGCACAACAATTGGAGCTGTGCCCATTAACTTTATGGAAGATTTTGTGGAATGATCTTGATTTACTGACTTACAAAATCCAACTCGTGCAAGAATTGAAGCTAAAAGACCATCAAGCGCGTCGTACGTTCGGTGAATAAACTCAAAATGAGATGGCCTCAAATCTCGATTTTCACAGAATCTTTGGTTTAGCCATGAAGCTCATTTTTGGTTGAATGGGAAGGTTAATAAACCAAATTGTCGCATTTGAAGTAATGATAGTCCACAAGCATGGCTGAGACGCCATACGTAGACAAAAAGTCAATCTTTGGTGTGTTGTATCCGCTGTTAATCCACTTTTCCTCAAAAATGAACCCGCCTGTAATGCCGCAGTCAATGGGGAGCGCTATAGGGTCATGAGTGACCATGTTGATATTATCGTGTCTGAATTCTAGGTTGTGGACGACCTCTGATGCCAATAAGATGGCGCTACATGCCATACAGCCAGCGAAACGATAAATTTATTCAAGGAAACTTTAAGTGAGCGCATTATCTCTCATAGTGAGCCTGTGTCGTGGCCTCCAAGATCCAGACTCCAGACTAAGCCCGAGACTGCTAATGCTTCGGAAGAGAATATTCGGCTTATTGCTTACATGCGGTCCTAGTTGCTGCAAAAAGCGGTCAAGACATGGATCTCTCCGCTACATTAATTTCCAGGCGTTTAATTTTCACTCATAACATTTGAGTTTTAAGAAGGAAAACAAAGTAATGCTTTCCCAAAGATTATCTACACTTACCAAACAAGCACTCAATAAAACTCTGCATTAGGTTTATTATACATTGTTACATATTTACATACATATATTTAATAGCACAGCAATTACGCCAAAGAAATGTCTTAATTACACACAACCCATAGACGCGTTTAAAATTTACTAGTTTTTTTTTTTTACTCTAATAATCTGCCCAATGCACTGCAATAGTTTCAAACATTATACAAACAATATGGAATTAATATTTTTATTAATACATACATACATGTATGTATGTACGCATGTATGGTTGAAATACATATATATGTAGGCAGATTAAAAAATCTTGGCATTAGATTATATTATATTTAATAGAAATAAAAAATGCTGAAAACAATATCAGTGGATTATTTTGCCGCTCGGCCGACACGCTGATCACACAGTCATTATCAAGCCGTGAACAAGCGCGGATCAAATCGACAATATTTGTTCAGTTCAATAACAACAATAGTAGTAGTAAAGGAGCAAAGAAACAACAACAAAAAAAATAAAATAAACTACAAATCCTCACAGCAACAACAACTTGAAACACCTTGATTTTGCAAACACAACTCACAGCTCATGCAAAAAGCTGAGCTTAAAAAACACATAATTGCGCAGTTTCAAAAAAAGAAAACAACTCCAACAAATTGACAATTTTTAATTCGTGTAAATTGTAAGTGCTGGCAAAGAAATGAATTATTTATGAATTTCATATCAAATCAGGCATTTAATTAAATAATTGTAATATTTGTTTGTAAGCAAAAAAGCTTCATAAAGGACATTTAGGGCAAAAAAAAAAAATTAAATAATAAATATTTTTTAAGTGATAACAGCTGTTGACAGCGCAGAAATCAGTGACATAATGGTATTTATCTGCTGTAAGCATGCACAAAAAAGAATGCTGCCGTTGTCAAGTGCATTTAAAGAAATAAATATTTTTTCACCATTTCTGTGGCGTGTAGTGAAGAAAAATGTAAAAATCGCAAACTCTACTGTCCTCCTTATCGCAGAGACAGCGACAGTGTCTGCACGCTTCATTGCGCAAGTCTGCAGGCATTGCCCTGTGTATGCTTTACGCCATTTTTACGCTACACACAAAATGTCTGCAATAAAATTGTGGTAGATTCGTAGAGCCATTGGCTTTTGAGAGTATTTGATGATTATAAAATCTATGCTAAATATAATACTCATACATACATATTTGACTATCAAAATAAATTTTCCAAATTAATGTTTTTTTGGAGGTGAAATTTCAAATGAATTATAATTTATTTGATAATATTTTCATTTATTTTTAATTAATTATTTTCTTAATTTAACTCAATTAAATATTTTTATTTTATATTTTTTAAATTTAAAATATAAATAGTTATAATTTATCTTACATTTTTCATTTCTTTATTTTATTTTATTTAGTTTTATTTTATTTAATTTTACTTAAATTAATTAATTTTATTTTTTCGCAATAAATTTAAAAAAAATTAAAATATATTTAGAAATTTTTAAATTTGTCCTATATAATTTATGTTTTCAATTAACTTAATTTCTTTAAATACATTTTTAATAATTATAGTTTAATGGTAAATATGTATTATTTTAATTTAATTTAATTTTTTATACAATAATTATTTTTAAATAGGGAAAGTTTGTCGGCTTGAGGTCTGAATAAATAAAAACATTGTAAGTAATATTTTTTCCGATATATTTTTCAATTTGAAACAAAAAAAATCCGCTAAAACCATTAATATAATTTTTAAATAATTACAATACAGTTGAATAATTTCTGTTTTCCAATTTGATTAAATTTTCCTAAATTTAGTTTTTTTCTCTTAGTAATTCATTAATATTTTCCAATTTTTATTTTTTAATTTAATAAATTTTATTAATTTTTTTATTGAATTTAATTTTAATTTTTTAAGTTTTATTTTAACTTTCTTGATAAAAATTTAAATGTGTAGTTTTATTCTAACAATTAATTTATTTTTTATAATTATATCAATAATTTATATTGAAATCTCATACTTTTTAATTTATTTTAATTTTTCATATTACATGTAATTTAATTATTTTGTAAATAATCTTATAATAATTTTAATTTACTTGGCAATTCCAGTTATTTTTTAATATTATCTTTTTTCGAAATTAATTTCTAAATAATTATAATTAGTTGCCATAAATAATTTTTTTACTTATTTATAATTTTTAATTTCATTTCATTTTTTTAAATTAAATTTAAAATAAATATAATTTGCTAGGACATTTTAATTATTTAAATTTAATTTACAAGAAACAACAAATTTTAAAATGAATATAATCTGTTTTCCAATCTTTTTTTCCTCTAACTAATTTTTATATATTTATTTTATTTTTATAATTAATTTTCAAATAATTATAATTTATTTGCCAGTTTCAATTATTTTAATATATTTGTAATTAAATTTAAAATAATAATAGTAAATAGAAATTTCTGAACCTATTTTTTCAATATAATTTAAGTTTAAAATAATTTTTATTTTATTTAATATTTATATTTAACTTATGAATAATTGTAATTTATTTAGTAATTTCTATTATTTTAATTTAATTCAGTTTAAGTTTGTTCTGTAAATAAATTTTGAATTATAATAATTAATGGAAATTTGCTAAATTTATTTTTTCAATTTAATTTAAGCTTAAAATTTATTTTAATTTACTATATTTTAGTATTATGAAATTTTTAATTAATTTTTATTTTTTACCAGTGCACAAAATTTAATTTTTGGTTGTGTACGACATATTTTGAATTTCTCACGTACTGAACTATTATTACCTCAACATCTCTCCCACTCTCTCTCCCTCTCTCAATTAAGACAGAAAAATAATCTAAAAACAATTTCACAAGTCTGCAATTTATAAGCTTATCAATTTTCAGTAGAAGAATTTCTATAATTTTTGTTAATTTCAAACATAATAACGAAATTTCAAAACAATGCCAAAACGAATAAAAAATTTAATAATAATCTTTAAGGGCCGACCCTAGGAATTGGGGTTATCTCCAGTACTCGTGATTCAAGTGAAATTGTAAATTATTAATTATGTATATGGAAAATCACATCTGTAGTGAACTTCTTATTTAATATTTTTCAAGAGCTGGGTTTTACAACCGTAAATATCTCTGTTCTATCATTTTTTATACATTGACCTAGGCAATACAGTCACATATAATAATGTGTTAATTTAAAAGTAGAAAAGTTGAAATATATTACAATATTAACGCGTGAATTCGATATTCAAAGTCTTTCAAATATTACAAACCGATATTCTTCGTGGTAGAGTCAAGTTGAGGTTGTTTTATTTCGAAGTAAAAACCTTATTTATAGGTTAGGTAACTTATTCGGAGGTTAATCGAAGTTTTCAGGTGTGTTCTTGAGCGAAATGCAAGCAGATTTATGATTTGAAAAATTCTTTGTCAAAATCTCTTTTAAAAACAGTGGTGATACGTGTAGAAAGTGTTTGGAGGCAGGCATGAGTGAGACGTTGAGACACTTCTCCTGTTTCTTGTCAGCTTCAAGGAGAAGATGACGTACACAAGTAGAAGCTTCACTTTTCAGAGAACAAAAAGTAGTTTAAAGTTGTATATCAAGATTCATTTTAAGTTCACTAAGAAGTTTGAGGTCCCATATCCCCACGACCAAACAAAACCTGTAATTTTCGAACCAGTCAGAACACCATTCTTTCATACGACACTTCTGGTTTCAACACCCTACACTTTGTTCTAAATTTGGTTACGGAAACTGCTGCAAGTTTACTGATTTGGATGTCTTTAGAAAGTCTAAGTTTAAGCGTCCCTTTTAAGGCAATATTCTTTCTTCTTATCATATATTAGACTTTTTTTGAGGTTAGACATGAGTGCATAGTACTGGTATACATACGAGTAAGTAGTAAAAGGTGTTGGATGCATTTCAAAAATTCGAAATATGGATGGCGCTTTTTAAAAAAATGTTAAAAGAGGGGATTAAAGTATTAGGGAAAAACTCAAGAGCGAAAAAAACTAAAATGGTATACTAATCGGAATTCTCTAGGTTCTAGATTGATTTCAAGCTGATTACCATATGCTTCCTAATCTCACAAAAATGTGTTTCATAACTTTTGGTGGTCATATTTACCATTTTATTAACAATAAATTTCTGTGACGTTTCCAGACATTTGCGTCTGCGTATTTTGTTCTCAAGTTCGATGAAATTCTAAATTTTACGCCATACAATATAACGATAGGTTATGAATCAGATCTAATTATATTTCGTTCATATACGAGGGCCAATCAAGAGACACTTGAGATTGGGATAAATTTCATTTATTAAATATCGGTTGACATATGCCTTCTGATTGAAGCCGCAACCCAGAGGACTGGGGATATTCTGAGCATGAAACGTTAACGATCGGCATTGACGGTAACGGCAGCTATCTGCACGCTTTCAAAGAACCAATGATGCCGTCGAACTACAATACATCAAACAGTCACTAGTTGAAGATGCATTGTTGCGTTGGCCTTTCCGCGGTTACGAGTACGAATGGACCTAAAATGCGGTAGTTTTGCTTAAAGTGTGCGCCGAGGTGAATATAAATTTTTTTTCGGGAAAAAAGCTCGTTTTCTGCCCTGCAATCTTCAGCCCTTTTAACGAAAAATTGGACTTTGTAAGCCTTAATTACGAGGTCCTTGTGCAAGAACTTATGGAACCGACCTTTTTGGTGGATAACTGATATACGAGTATGTTCTATTAATCATACCTTGCCATAAAGTTTAATCAACATTTTATAATACTTGCTGTTATCACATCTAAATGCTTTCAATCTAACTACTTCCACTAATGTAAAGGGTGGTTTTCCTTAGACGTTTTGTTTTCAATGAGATAATACTTTTTTCGGAGTTGGTCTTTTTGACAACTGTCACTTGATTTATACTCGGTTTGGTTTGCCATTTCAAATGAAGCAAAGTCCGAAACAAAGTTTGCAAATCGGATAAATTTAATACGAAAATAATGTCTCGGTTAGCGCAACGCATCGCGCCCTGCATTCAATTTTCGGTAGTACAATAATAATAGCCCAACAGAGTCGGTAATGCGAGCAATCTTGGGTGAGGTTTGCGCCACCTACTGGATCATGCGTATCCTCAGAAAACCCGTATATTGCGCACCGCAGAGCTTATTGTTTCTATAGAGCAAAGCATCAAAAGGGACCGGAATGAGTACATCCACCGACGCGCACAACAATTAGGGATGTGCCCATCAACTTTATGGACGATTTGATCTTGATTTACGGACTAACAAAATCCAACTCGCGCAAGAATGGAAGCTGAAAAACTCTCAAGCGCGTCCTACGTTCGCTGAATAGGCTCAAAATGAGATTACCTCCAAACTCGATTTTCAGAGAAACTTTTGTTTAGCCATGAAGCTCATTTTTGGTTGAATGGATGTGTTATTAAACAAAATTGGCGTAATTGGGGTGATAAAAGTCCACAAGCATGGTTGAGACGACATTACATACACAAAAAGTTAATGATTGGTGTGCCTGTCTCTATGAGAAGCGGAAATCATTGATCCATATTCCTTCAAAAATTAAATCCGCCTTAATGTTACAGTCAATAGGAAATGATATAAAGCCATGGTTAATCACTTTTCCGTGCCTGAACTAGAG